AGTGTGTTCCATTCACTATACATTCCCGTGAGACTGTCACATGTAGTCAATATATGGTGACTAATCAATATATAACGTACGAGAAATAGCCGTACGAAGGTCGTCTGCATGTGTGCCACGTGTGGACCGACCAGTAAGCAAACCCAATTAAATTCCATGTTTTAGGACATCGAGAACGTGATTAGGCTAATATTTTTCCTCGTCGTTTGAATTGAACGGTACTGGTAATTAGAAATACAACGGTTTCCTTCAAAACCAGGCAACATCTAAAGTTTTATAGGGAGAGATTTTCGAAGCACTTATGTTTCATCTAGGTTTGAAAATTGTGCATCTAAACATAAAATTTGTCTTTGATCAATAAAATATTTAAAACGTGCCCGTAGAATAGGTAAATATAGCGAATTATAATTTAAACTAAATTAGAGCTTAAGGCCTCGTTTGAGAGGGATTAAAAGTCAATTAAAATTGAAAATATAGTCGTTATTGGGTTCCACTCGTCTAATAAAAGTCAACAATAACGGCTATATTTTCAATTTTAATTCGATTTTAATCCCTCCCATACAAGGCCTAGACTAAAAGGGATTTATTTTTGTTTAAATACTCGTGATNCCTCCCATACAAGGCCTAAATATAACATTTGTTTGGTTTAGATAAAAATCAGATTTTTAATAAATTTTAGCATTGGCTTGATGGCCATTATAAAGAGAAATTGAGAGAAAAATAATGTTTTGAATATTGATTTTCTGGAGAATGTATGATTAAAAATTAGGAAAAAATTTGGATTGACGTACAAAATATTTTACTGTGTAAATGTGTAGTTAAAAATGAATACGAAAATAAAGAATTTTAATTGAATGAAAGTCAAACGTGAGCTTAATAAACATTGATGAAATGTGCAATTCAAAAGTTGTGAATCCAATAAGAGTTATGCTACATTTACCGAATTTTTTTACCAAATTTTTTACACCTCACTCACATTAGGGGGTGATGACCACATGCCGGAATTTTTAAATACAAGTGGGGGCTGCGCTTTTTGTGAGAGGGGGTAAACCATTAGGTAACCCCCTCGGCACACTAGATTAATTCAACCAATAATATGTGTGATTAAAATTAATTGTTGATTTTAACTTATATTTAATTAAACTTTTTAGGTGAACTAAACATAGACATACAAAAAATATAGAAATTATCTACTAAACAATGTTACACGTTAATTCTATTCATTAGTATAATGTTTCCAAAAAATTAAATTAAATTGATTGAATTGAGTGCCAATCTACAAAAGTTTGTCACCCGGACCTGAGGAGGCCATCTCGAAATTACGTGACTATTTTTTCGAGTTTTTTTAGAACAATCGTGCTACTTGTACACTTGACAACATCACCCACATTCATCAATTTTAAAAATTATTTTTAATCAATGATTAATTGTACATTATTTTTTACATTATGTCACGGTGACAACACGTAATGTTTTACACCGGAAAAGTAAACAATCCACATATGAAAAAGAAAAACCAAACAGC